ATCCAATTTCAACACTTTTCATCATGCATTTTACTTAAATAGGAATAAATAGTAAATAATGTATCAATTAAAATGTGTAAGACTTATTTAGAAATAAATACAACAGTATGTTCTGTGCTTTATTTAGCTATAAACAAGTTTATTTTTATTATTTTGACAAAATTATGTACAATTCCCATAAGAAGCCATGTATTTTGAACTACGTAAACTGTACCAGCGCCCATGCGGTTAATTATAAAAGCTCAATTGACGTGTGATTTTTGGGACCGTATTTTGAGCATGCCGATTCGCCTTCTTATCTCTAGTCTTCATAGGACTGACTTTGGGTAAATATTATAACATAACCACTAAAACTATTGGGCCAAGATGTAGGCAACACGTAATAAGTGTTAAAAATGGCGGAGTTTTCTATCTCCTTTTAAAAGGCTTTCATAAAGCTGCGCAGTACGACCATTCTCCGTATAGTAAGAGAAAATCAAAGTATGTAATTTACTAACTCATGAGAGTGCCCCTTCATGGCTGCTTTATCTCACCGCTCACATGATACCTTACAATTTTAAGTTAGTGACATGCGCAGCAATGTCAAATTGTGAGTGGGTCTACACGAATACTCCCTCAGTTACTGAATAAGGGTTTTGAAGCAAATTTTTTTGTCATCTATTCGCTAAGTACTTGTAGATAAAGTTTGCGGTCATTGTATGGTTTTTTGCTAATAGCTTTAAACTAATATTTGTCTATAAAACATTCTTTAAATACTTACGAATTTATCTCTTTATGATAGTCGCCTGTTTGCTTCAAAACAAAGGCTAGCAGACCACCATTCAGAAATTCTTTATTTTCTATATGACTAATAAGTATAAATAAAAAAATTATTGACCTGGTTTTTTGATTTTTCTCCTCTTATTATATCAATTTTATTAAATCCTAATAAATTGCATCCGGCTCTCCATTTTACTCCTAACACATATTTTCCAAGACAAGAAAGAAAAGAACACAGAGTAAAATTTTTCGTCGCTTAAGATCGCACGTATAATTCGCGAACAAGTGCGAAACACTTCCAGGCTCAACGTCGCAAATCTATGAATTACGACTAAATAAAGTGCTCTTATTTGCAAATTTCATGGGGAACAAGACGGAAAATGCGGGAAAGTACGGAAGAGCAATTCTCGACCTCTTAACGCTCCTCAATCCTCGATGATCTTGGAATGGGAGGACGTCATATAATCTGCTACACTCGAATGACCGACCACTCGCTCGAGCACTTAAACATCGTTATATGTATAAGAGGCAGTAAAAATTGTTTTTTAATATTTTATGGAGGTCGGTTAACAGGGTTGGACTAGTATCATTTGCATCAGAAATGAATGATGATAATAATAATAATATACCTAAATAAATATAAAACTAAAATCGTTACAAGATTGACTGGAAGAAGCGCTACTAGACAGTCACTTCAAAACTAAACTGAGTATATTGCTTATTTAAATAATTAAAAACAGTTCTAACCGAAAACAAAAACCAACATGTATCGCGTTAAGGTATAGGATTTGCTTTTGTGGTGTATCCCAACTAACATTTTTTATAATTTTTTCTAATTTTAATCAATTATTTAAATAACATCCTATACATAAAACTTTGTTTAAGTATGTCGACAATTTGTTTTGAATAGCAATCATGTGCAAGGTTGATTATTTAATAATTATTAAACATTAGTTTGATAACAATAAACTATGAAAAAAATTATAAAAATAATGCCGAGAGGACGCGCAGGGCTTTTTCCTCGGGGAAGGATCCTCCCCATAGGAGGCCCCTTCTTGTAGGAGATTCCCAGTAGCAGCCCTCTATAGTTTAAATTAAAGGTCTTTTTTTATATTTTGAATAATTGCCTTTTGAATAGTTAGCTAAAGGTTGTGACATGTGCCCAAGATATTTGTTGGAGTGGTAAGTTTATATTTTGTGTACGTACTTGTTATTACATTGAGCCTATATTTGTGTGTGTCGAGCTGTGATCTATTTTGAATTTTTATGTTAAATATATACTATATTTGTTTTAAGAAAAAATTGTGTTTCTTTTCATCTTCAGAGGTTTTAATTGCCGAATAAACCCCATATATAGTTAATGGCTACGAAAAGAGGGTTTAAGGCAATATAGAGTTCTTATGTTATGTAGGCCCAGAGTGCTATGTTTTGTTATTCAACCCCCGGGACATAGATAGTCCCTTAATTATTAATGAGCACGTAAATCGTGACATTTTTATTAAGAACACGCATAACGTGACAATAAGAATAACTATAAATAACCGCAAGAGATTTCTACCAACAAGATTGCGACTTCGGACTGCCACATGGGGAAAGACAGGTTCAATTAGGAACTACTACAAAAAAGTTTACTCATACTGTTATTGTCGCTGATGTAGAAGAAAATGTTGTATTGGGAACGAATGTAATGAACTTAACAGTTAAATTTTAAGAAGAGAATGATCAAAGTTGGTGCCGAGGAGGCATTCCTTCATCCATATGAGGATAGCACCGTGCTAGTAACTGTAAAGGGAGATATTGTATTAACCTAGTACCAGTAGCACAGCTGTAAGAAACCATATGTTAAGAGTGACATTATAGGCCCTTTTGACTGTCCCTAAAGTCCATTCTTAGCAGTTTCCACGGGTTATATAGAGGGGCCCAATTTGTATTTAAATTGGCCTCTAGATAATACACGGCTAGGGGGTTAAGTTCAGACGGGATGGGCCTAAGGAACCCTAACTTCCTGACGATGATTCAGAGGGCGGAGAAAGGTTTTGCCCTACAGGGACTATTCCCTTTGGCAGTATCTCTCTCTCTCTAAGAGAATGATCGTGAGTTTCCATAAACCAAAAAAATTGAAATTGAAACAAATAACTATGATTTGTTTAACAAATATAGAAACCACTAATATTGCTTCAGCAATTCAGTAGTCTCTGCTGACTACACAAAACTAAATATTACTACTCAAAATCGAGCAAATTATTGCAGCTACTGGTAAATCTCTGAATCAATTATCAAAAAGTAAAATAAACGCATTTCTTCGACGATATCGTGACATGTTTTGTTTCGAAAGAGGGAAAAAAGAAAGAACTGTTAATAAACATAAAATTGATATTGATAACGCCAAGCTGATTCATTAAGATTACAAAAGGCAAATAGAGAAAGAGGAAATTGAAAGGATTGTTCGGGAAATGGAGGCCAGAAGAAGTCCAACTAAGGCAGAGATTAAAGCAGGACCGGACTGGTCGAAAATAGCTCGCACGACATTACTCTTCAGCTCTTTTTGAGAGCAGTTTTATATATAGATCTATTAAACTACATATTTAGGTTATTTAAACCAGATTTATCACTATCAGCTCACACTTTTCACAAAAGAATAAAAAACATAGTACTAGCTTGTTACGGACCAAAAGTACCTTACTGAGCAATATATTTAAAATTTATATTAGTTACCTTTTTTATGATTCTATCAAATTTTTAATCATATAAATATTTAAATTTAATTAATTCCATACCTCAATGCGATTCAAGAGTTAAAATAAAATAAATTAACTTTATTTAATAAAATATATTTGTATAACAATAAATTTTAGATGCCATTTTTCGTGAAGAATCCAATGATTTAGCTGGTTGGTTCCCCCATGTTTCATTTCTAAAATAAAAGAAAATAATAATTAGAAATTCAAATATTGTAAACAAACAAATATAACCTTGTCTAAGAATTGTCATATTCTTCCTTATTTCTTCTTTTCATTTCTAATATGTCATTAATTCTTAAAACAGTAATTTCTCTTAAATCAAAAGAAGAAAACAAGATACCAACTAAAACAATTAATTTATTCCTAAAACTTCGCGGCAAATATTAGCAAAATGGTGCTTTTTTTTTGCATTAAGCACATTTTCTGAGAAAGAAGCGTACCCGCATTTTGCGGATTTTCTTCGAAAAACCTTATATTTAGTGAACTAAAAGATTTTGTGTTAATACTAAACAATAATCTCAACATTGTGGATAAAAGTTCCGAATATTTAGAGTTTTTCACCTTTTTTATATTAACTTACTTCAATTGAAGCCCCTTTGCGGCCACCCATCATCCAAGGTGAGTTTTTAAGGAATAACCCCTATAAAAAAAAGAATTTTATTAATCTTTTTATCGTCCTAATTTTGGCAATATATTTTTAGGCCTCGTATGCAGTCTTTCACTTTCACTCTTATGCTAATTTTCAATCTCATTTCCATTTAAATTTCAAACTGAAGTTTCATTTTTGATTTTACTATATCTAGTCTGGAACCCGGAGGTTCCTATACACCGAATTACTTAACGACACCAAATAAAGCTAGTGGAAGAATCCAACCAGTCCATCTCTTTGAGTTTAAAACAATTGGAGACTCAACTCATGGTTATTGTACCAATTAATCTAATTTTATTAATATCATTTATTGACTATTTATTTCTAGAAATAAACCCCATCTTACCGTAGGTTGTTACAGCAATTACTAAACTTAATTTATTGCTTTACATTGGTACCAAAGAGAAGTTCTTCAAGCCTTTAAATCTTCAGATTATCTTCGATTTTTGATTGCTTTTCAAACTACCTAAAATCATTTATATTTATATAAAATAAGAATTTATATAATTAGTCACCTGTTTATAATCCAATTGTGCTTATTTATTTGAAACTATCTACTATCATCACTTAATAGAAAATCTTCCACACTATTTTTGTTTCCTTAAGAGAACCCGAATCTGTTTTAAAAGCAACCAAAAACGGTTTTATATATCTTTTAAGTAATTTTAAATGTCTTTCTTTTAGTTTTTACATAATATAATGTTAAATTTGATATCATAATATTTTTTTCTTTCCCTTTTTGTAAACTGGACTAGCTAATTTTCATCTTTTTCAGACAAATGTACATACATTTGTTAAATAAAAATCTTTTATTATTATTACTTTATAAATAATTACTTTATTCGTTTTAGGTATAGGTTACGCTGTTGTATTGATAGCTTTCTACGTCGATTTTTACTACAATGTAATAATAGCGTGGGCATTAAGATTTTTCTTCGCCTCATTTACAAGTATGCTACCTTGGACTACGTGTGACAACGAGTGGAACACTCCAAATTGTAGGCCTGTATGTAAACATTCTATTTTCAATAGTTATCCTAACTTTAACAATTTTAAACATAATTTAAATAATTGTTTTATAATTGCAGTTTGAATTATCCACAAGAAACTATTCAGATTTCAACAGTACTGATCTCGCGACCATATCCGGTCCCTCAGATTCCCGTTTTGCATCAGCAGCTTCCGAGTATTTCAAGTAAGCACAATAGATAAAACGAACATTAAGTTTTTCTTTTAGGTAAAAACGGAATGCATTTTCCACAACATTAGCCTAGAACGATATAATCATTTTTATAGTCAATTCCGATATAATATTTAGCGATTTCTTAACTTTCTTAGAACTAATTTAGAATATTTTTTAGTCGGGCCATTCTAGAGCTCCACCAAAGTGAAGGCCTGCACGATTTGGGTGCCATAAAATGGGACATCGCTATGTGCCTTCTAGCCGTTTATTTTATTTGTTACTTTTCCTTGTGGAAAGGCATTTCCACGTCAGGAAAAGTGGTTTGGTTTACAGCTTTATTTCCGTATGCGGTATTGCTAATTCTTTTAGTAAGAGGAATAACATTGCCGGGATCTGCCGAAGGAATTCAATATTATTTGAATCCAAATTTTAGTGCTATTGGACGGGCCGAGGTAAGTATGATTTAAAAGTCAGATTATTTTTAATCATTGAGGTAATATGGAGTGGAAATGAAATATATGTTTTGTTGTTTTCAACAGAAAATATGACTAGGGATTATTGTAATAACAATAGGGCAGAATTACTATGGTCAAAAGATGACAATAGTGGTTTTAATGATATTATAGCATCTTCTTTCAATACTATCAGGATTCAATATGAAATCCAAAATAACAAGGGAACATTAGGAAATTTAGAATTTCCGAAAAAATTAAAATTTATAGAAATAAATTATGTATATAAAATTTGAAACGGAGAAATAATGGTTTTGGCTTTTATTTACGCTTAATACAATTTGAAATAAAAAGAAGTTATGTTCAATTAGAACAGTTAGATAATTAAATTAACAACACGGTTTAAAACTTCATTAGAACTAAAGTCATAATCATCTCTGTTTAGTGATATAACAGTGGAAGCAATTTCCAATCTATCCATTTTTTGCTCCCTTTTTCATTATCGTAGGATGTATTTCCGGCATCCTTAAACGCTATTAGTAGTTTTCAACGATCAACTAGTCTATTTGGATCATCTTATTGAGTCCACTACCCGAAGTTGATGATTGTCTCCCTGTTTTGCGCTCAACAATAAATTTAAAATAAAAAATAAGTTGATAAAGTCCAGACGGTCCTCATACTTGCTGTTTCTATGTCTTAATATATCCAGTTTTTTATCAAAATCAATTTCTTTTGATCCTAGATATCATTTTGAAGTGTATCATAAGTAGTGGGATCATATACATTATCTATCAAAGAACTACATGAATGATCCTTGATATGTGGATGAATTATTATGACTGGGTATTGATCCAGGTATTCATCCATTACATCTTCTTAAATACTTGGTTTTCGTGATTTTCCTCTAGATATTTAATTATCATCATCATCATAACCATTAGCCGCCGCCATTGCCATCATCCTAAGCTATTTCTTTCACTTTTAAGAAGGATTGAGTGTCGTTGGTGTTTTTAAGGGCGACGGTAGTGGTTCCTCTTTTTTAAGCTTACTAAAAAAACTGATGTACTATCTTAGAGGATTATACAATTTCCTTAAGCGGCTCAGTTAGTGATTTAAATAGTTTATTTGTAGATCTATCTTCAGCAAGTTTGGTAATTTTCCTCTTAAGCGTAGCTATAGTAATCTGCAGAATATGTGAAGAGGAGGACGAAACTCCTATTCACATACTATGCCACTGCCGGTACCTTAAATGGGAACGGGAATGGTACTTCGGGGTACAATATCCGGAACCTGAAGAAATCGCGAAAGCGCCCATCAGACATATTCTTGAATTCATCAAGAAAATCAATCTGATGGGATAGAAACTGTGAGGGGCACAATAAGCCTAGAGCTTCAGTACAAGTGGGCTTTGAACCACGCCCTAATTCAGATGAAGATGATGATGAACCTGATCATCTTACACCATGTTAAAAAGTGATATACTGCGCATAGTATCTACATTTTTATATACTTATCAAATCCCATGCGATATATTCCATTTTTGAGATAACAAAAATACATTTTTCGGTGCAGCACCTTATGAACATTTTTTTAAACATCGTGACTAGCAGTACATCGGCTGTGCGCGTTTTATTTGTATGTTGGTCTTCTTTTTAGATATAATACAGCATATAACAATTTGAGTTGTGTCCAGGCCGTTGGAGTCTATGCCGGTCAGTGTAGACAGGTACCAGAAGTTGTTGCTTCGTCTTCTTGTTGTATATTTTATTCTTCTGATTCTAGTTTGCCATGGATTCTAGTTTGCCATGGAAATAAACGTTGTGGTGATTTATAATATATCAAATCGCAGATTCTGAAGAAAACTGTATTTAGTCATATTTTTGTAATTTTTTGCTTTATTTAGAAACAAAGCTTTCTAGAATTATGATGTACAAATAACGGGGATACATCCGATGTACAAATATTTCGTGTATATCCGATATACTAGTAGTCACTGCTTTTTTTAAATTCATCAAAACACATGTCCGGTAACTCGTGTTCATCGAATACATGTTTCAGGTTAATTTAATCTTATTTAAATATTAAAATTAGGTTGCAATTATCGCTTATCAGTTGCTTAGGTACCTTCGAATATAAAATAAATTTCAAAGCCATTCGCAAAGTCACAATAATAGTAGCGGCCGTTTCTCTCTTGAAAACAACTACTTTTTTGACTAATACCTCACGAGGTAATGAATTACAGAGACAAAAAATATTTTCAAAACCGGTTCAAGAATGACATTCTCCTTGGTAAGCAAAATCAAAGGTAGAGTGTTAAAAATATTTTATATATCTGCTATTTTCTTTTAATGTAATTCAATACCTGGTGAGCTATTAGCCAAAGGAGTAGTTATTTTCAATTGAATTTAAATTAAATCCAGTATACCTCAATGGTTTTAATAAAATTTGAATAACTGTTCAATATTATTAAGCTCTTTATATTTTTGTAAATATATAATATGATTAGGTATGGGTAGATGCGGCAACCCAAGTATTTTTTTCATTGGGTCCAGGATTCGGAGTCCTTCTAGCATATGCTTCTTACAATAAATACCACAACAACGTATATAAGTAAGTATATCATCAACCACGCCTGAAATTTATCTTTAGCCAATTCAGTTGTCCAAGAAAAAAGGTTTAGATCGAAAAACCGAAAATTAAATGTTTGGAAGTGTAAAAATATAATCCCAGCTCCCCAATAAAATTAAGAACTGTATCTGTGCATCCCCAAAGAGAAGAAAAATTAAAAAAATCTGAGTAATAAAGAAAATAAAATAGATTGTATCGGCCAGGGATCGAACCTGGAACTTCTAGGTTGAGCCCCTGGCGCCTCTGCCAATTGGACCACCAAGACACATTTCTAATTTCGTAGGGGGAATTGGAGATTATATTTTCACATTTCCAAAAATTGCAAATCTAGTTGTCTTTGCAAAACCATTTTTTTTTGTAACAGCAGTAGTTATTTTGTTATTTTATTTAAACATTTTAGGGACGCAATTTTAACGAGCATTATCAATTCCGCTACAAGCTTCATTGCTGGCTTCGTAATATTCTCAGTTCTTGGTTATATGGCACACGCAGCTGGAAGACCCATCCAAGAAGTTGCAACAGAAGGTCCAGGTCTGGTCTTTATCGTTTATCCAGCAGCAATAGCAACGATGCCGGGAAGCATTTTCTGGGCGCTGATATTCTTTATGATGTTGTTAACGCTAGGCCTGGACAGTTCAGTAAGTTTTTTCTAAATTACAATGTTAGAGTAAATCTGAATTATTTTACAGCAGTCTATGAGTAGAGAAGCTGGCTTCACTTATACCAAAAATCATCGCGAGATGGCCATAACTGTCAGTGTTCAGAACAGAAACTTGAATAAGTAGTTTTTGATGTGTTTGATGTAGGTGACCGATCTAAGATGGTAGCCAACGTTCATGTGAACTAAATTGCTTATGACATTGCCACAGCCGCATAATTTTTCTCTTCAAAGTCAATTTACGTCACGTCTCCTTCATAGTGCCGTTCATCTCATGCTAATTGGCTTTGTTTTTTCGTTGACCACTTATATTTGTCGTTTACCTAGACTTAGCCACCTCGCACTGCCATCTCGCGGTGAGTTTTGGCACAAATGAGGCGATAGAGGTTTAGCTCATCTATTTTTGGGTTCAACACTGTTACATTTAATACATATCGTTGGATATGATTATCTTCGTGTGGTTGTATTACCAATTATTTTATTTTTTCAGTTTGGTGGATCGGAAGCAATTATAACGGCTTTGAGCGACGAATTTCCAAAAATAGGAAGAAACAGGGAAATATTTGTAGCCTGTCTATTCACGGTGTACTTTCTAGTTGGTTTAGCATCCTGCTCGCAAGGTGGCTTTTATTTCTTCCATCTGCTGGATCGGTATGCTGCTGGATATTCCATGCTGTTCGCTGTATTTTTCGAAGCTATAACAGTTTCGTGGATTTACGGTCAGTTTCACTTTTTTAAGCAGCAATAGTTTCACATAATAAAAAATATAAATGATTTTATAGGCACGCAACGTTTCTGTGATGACATCCAAGACATGATTGGATTTGCGCCTGGATACTACTGGAGATTTTGTTGGAAATTCGCTGCCCCAGTTTTTCTTCTTTTTATCATCGTCTACGGCCTACTTGGGTACGAACCACTCACTTACGAGGAGTACATTTATCCAGCATGGGCAAATGTTATCGGTTGGGTTATAGCTGGATCTTCGGTTTTCATGATTCCTGCCGTAGCGATATACAAATTTATTGTTACGCCTGGATCTTGTGCTAAGGTAAATTAACTAATAATAAAATATAAGCTTTGCATGCTGATAGAGCTCTTATCGGAGTAGAAATCAATTGTTTCCTAAATTGTAATTGGCAAACCTTTGGATCATCATAAACCAAACCATTCATGCCTAAACGTATTTATAAATATCGTTAAATTATATTAGATAATTTTAGCTTTTTCGTCACTAAACTCCAGCTCATCAGAAGTGGGATTGTCGGTTATCAGAAGTGGAATGTTTTGTCTAATTCTTTAAAACATTATTTTTTGCCTTTTAATTTGCATTACCTCTCTATATGTTTAGAGACTGAAAATTTTGACGACTCCATGGAGCGACACGCAGAAGATGTCACAACAAAATGGCGTCGTGCAATCTGAAAGCAACCAAGTTCGTTTATCTACGCCTGAAATGTCAAATCAGGCGCCTGTCGAGGTGTGAGAAAAAAGAATTACTAAATTTAAGGAATATTACGTTTGATTTATTTGTTTAAATTATATGTAAGTATATTATGTATATGTGTATTATAGGTAATAAAAAAATGTTTATATGTCCCTATACAAGCAACCAGGAAAGAATGTGGGAATAGAAAATATATCTATTCTGATGATCACAAAAAGTTTTATTAAATTTAATTCATTTATTAAGTAAATAACATTCTCTTTATTTTTGAAAATATTTAATAAAGAAGCTCAAATTATTTCTTTAAAAAAATTATTCCACAATTCGTAGATTGGAGAGAAAATGTTGAATTGCCTGGCGCCCTTTTTTCTTTAGAGTAGTGGGTCTTACTTTATCCACTTATCTTATCCACTTTATAATAGGTGGTTCGGTTTATTTAAATTATAATTTTATTTCTAGTTTGTTGAATAATTCTTTTTAAAGTATTTTCTACAAATATAAATATCAACATTTTTATTGAAATAATAGTTGGCAGTTTCTTATTTAAATAAAGAGTCTGAATTAGTCAGTTTATTAAAAGTTAATAATAACTGTTCCTCAGAGATAAAGGTTTCGTTATATTTTTAGATTTTCTTCTATATTTCTATAATTGTTTTAACTAAAAGAACATTTTTTATAACGTTAATTGTCATTACTAAGTGTTCATCAGATTATTTGATATTTTAAGTCTGATGGTAGGTACTAATTAAGTACTTTAGTAAGTTAAGTATTAATGAAGTTTGGATTAAAATATATTTTTGTTTTGATAATTTTGAATTAAGAAAATATGAAAATATTTAGAATGTGCTATACAGCCAACATCTGGTATTTAATATAATACCAGATGATAGCACTTGATATTTTTAAAAGTTTTCTAAAAAATTACCTAATAATAATACAGGGTAGGTATGTAGGTATGTAGGATGTATGCATGTAGGTATGTAGACCCAAAACTAATTGCTGTTTTTAAATATGTTTTCACAGCAATACTTGTACCAAAAAAAAACAATAACAATTATACAGGGTTCTCCAGGAAAGTGATACAGATTCATTAGGTTTTTTTAAATGAGACATCATGTTTTTTCCCTTATAATTCAATTGCCTTCTCTTTTCCTATTATAATAATACTAAATAGTATAGGATTACACAGGGTATTTCACACGCTATATGAAAATTTTATTGATTTCAATGACCTGTATAATGTAAAAGACATAGCACATGAAGGTCTTACAGACGTCTTTCATGAAAATGAAGGACGTCCGACAGAAATGCTTTTCCGGTACCAGGACTTAAATCTGATGCCCAATGGACATTTTAATGTCCCGTCCTTTCGGGACGTCATAGAGATATCCTTATGAGACCTCACCCGGACTCTCAGAAGACGTCCTAGGGACCTAAATCAGATGTCTGAGGGACGATAATTGACCATAGTCCATAAAGAGTAGTAATAACAATATTATTAATATTACTTTCTCTTCGTCCACTGCCTTTTTCATAACTCTTTTCAAAAATTTCTTGATGCTGTCTTCGATTTGATTTTCTTCAAAGTTTGTGTGTTCCCAGCACCGAAAATTTTGACATTTATCTTTACTTTTTTGTACCTCGACATCTGCAGGTCTGCTTTCCAAATATATATTTTCTAAATTTCATCTGATCATTCTGTTTTGATGCCTTCGGGTAACATCAATTTTCAGTTCAACATATTTATTATATATATTTACCGGCTTTTTTTTTAACCACTTTCCGCTATTGAGCCCTTTTGTCGCCAAAAGTGCTAAAACAAAAAACTTACTTCACTTACTTTACCGCCAAGGTAAAAAAATGACAAATAACATTATATAACCTTCTTTATTCCTCTTCGTTACTTTGATATTTGGCCTTCACTTATATAAAGTAATTATTTAATATAGAAAATATTGTAAATGTTGTTTGTTTTGGAATTAGATTGATAGGTTAGATTTTCTATCCTTCTCCTTCTCCTTCTCTCATAAAAACAACGCCTTAAATTTCTCTTCTTTATCGACTCGAGGACCAACGATGTCAGTAGAAAGTCCCATTAATGCCTTGACCTCGGACCGAAGACTGAACCTGTAAATCTATTGGACGTCCTATAAAGGTTCCGAATCAGTATTATCAGAAACGGTACTAAAATAGGACGTCAAAGAATGTTGATGAGACGTCCTGGTGTTTACGGTAATCGAAAGTCTAGTGGACATTCAATTTAGGCCGCGGTCCAACAAGGGGAATGTCTCTAGGACGACTATCACTATATGTGAGAAATAAATAATAATAAAAGTTTTTCGATGTTGGTTAACATTTATTTCGTTGCCCTTTTTTTTATTCTAAACAAATCTATACATCATTTTTTGCATTGAAATCAATACGATTTTCATATAAAATTGGTTAGTGTATGAAAAAAAAAAAAAGAAATAACTTTGATGTGTATCACTTTTCTAGGAACCCTGCATAATTATTTTTTTTTTAATTTGTTGCGACATTTCGCTGTGAAATCAGATATAAAAAGCAGTTACTTTTGGCGTTACGAGTTGCCCACCCTGTATGATGTTAAAATTCTTATAAACCGATTAACCAACGGAACAACTTGGTGATATATTTAGTTATTTATATGAATTATTAATTATTTTTATAAATATTTGTGAAATAATATTCATTAATATATAAAAACTATTGGTAGGGCCCAATAGTTTTTAAATTCTAAACCAGGAATGTTAAACTTTATTATTACAACACAAAAGCAACGAAATGTAGATAAATAACTTAGAAAATGTATTAGTTAGCAATATTAGAAACTAGAAATAAGTATAGTCAAAATGTACAGTAAAGTAGAGAACATAATTTTGACAGTTCTGTAAAAATTTTGTACTTTTGTGGACAAAAACAAAGAGCTTTAAAGTAATATAGTTGCAGTTCTATAGAAGACAATCAAACAGCCATTTGATGTGTCTTCAAAATTTAATATTGTCCGATTTAGGAAAGAAAACTAACTTAAATGGAATAGAATATTTTATTTCTGATCACTTAAAAATGTATCAAGCTAAAACCCTTGTTAGCAACAAATGTGATATAAAAATATTAATAAAATCATTTAAAATACATTTATAATAAAGCTTTAAAACATTTTTAACCTACTTCATTCAGTAGTCGGACAGTAAACGTGAAGTGTTCTGCATAATAAACAAAAACACTTCGTAATTGATGGAAATATAAGATACCTACATGTTAGATAATATAAAATATAACTTTGAAACTATACAAAATTAATTATATTATGTATATTTTTGTAAAATCGAATTTTTCTAATTTAGTTTTTAATTTTTATATTAGTATTTTAATATTTTGTGATTTATTACTTATTTAAAAAAAGTTGATTGTAAGCAGCCATTACAAACAGCTTTTTGTTGTATTTGTTTAAGTAATATATTTATTTTGTTATAGTCTAGTATTTTTTATTGTAGATACTACCGTTTGAACTAAATAATTTATATTAAAATATTTGGTCCCTTTATCCTTTTAACTTCCCCATATCAAAATATATTGTGTCTTTGCCATGTAGAAATATTTGAACCGTTTTTCCCTTAAGTCTGCCCATGTAAAAGTGATAATTCAATTCATTTACCTATTTGATCCTAATATCAAATTCAGAAACGAATTCTGTTCTGTTGTTTGTTAATATTCATGTAAAAATCATCGTCACTTCACCATCCTGTATGATTCGTGTAAGATACACATTTATTTAAACTTAAAATAATTATTTTCACTTATTTGTAGTTACAATAAATAACCACTCAACTTTAAACAATTTATTTGATGTTTAAGAGTTACGGCAACATAGAAAAACATGTCTGTGGTTGATAAGCATTGGAATTGGTACACGTACCACAAAGCATTAAATAAGCTCCATAATAAATGTTGTTTTCTTAGTCAGGCAAATTTACATTTCCACAAAGTTGCCTATTAGCTGCATGTAATCCAACTGTGTTCAAGGTTCCTTATGTAATACAAATTTGTTGAACTCGTTCTAATTCCTTCCATATGGTACAATATATTATTAATATTAAATTAATAAAGTCTCTCTATGCAACTCCAGAAGGCAGTCATTCTATCGACATGCAACATAATGCGAAAGGTTTTAAATCAAAAAATTGCAATAGAATCTCTGTAATGTCTGTGCTTTGTGATAACGTATCACCGGCACAAAAACATTCAAACCGTACTAAGTGCGTGACAAAAAATAATAATAATTACACGGCGAATTCAGCAAATCGCCAACAAAATTAACCTGGCTAGGCAGCAGGCATCACGTATACAGAGTGTGTTGGAATTTCATTCCACCAATAGACCTTTTACGGAAAAAATTAGAAAAACTGCTAAAAAAACTTTGGCAGCAGCATCACACTCTTAATAGGGCGGTGCTTCTCACTGTAAAACAGCGCTTCTTATCGTATATACGCTCTTTGGGTGTCACTAAAAACAGTTTGAACCCAGATAGCACAGGACGTCCTAAGGACGTCCATTAAATGTCCATTTAACGTCTGTACGTCCAGGACCAATTATGGACGTTTTAAGTACGTCCAATTTAGTAAATTCTCGGGACATCAAGAAATAGATATCCGCAGAACGTTAATTTTACGTGCTTTACTGTATTTCCATGGATTCACATTCGCATTGCATTATTATTTGGTTATATTATATAAAAAACATATATAATGAGATAATATAAATAATTATTAAAGATAACATTGTCCCAATATCCAATTGAAAAAAGACCAAATAGACAAAAACGAAGAAGGTCATTTACAAGAAAGAGACATTGTTGACAAGTGTCATTTTATTTTTTTTATTAAAGATTCATTTTCTATGATTCAAGCACTGAAATATTCTCAAGACTCAGGTTTTATAAAAAAACATGTGTTCAATGTTCATGATTCGATGGTATATACATATTATACGAGTACAAGTTCTATCATCCCGCCATTTGACTGTGATTCGACTCTGTGAGTTTGTGGTTGATGAATATTAATTTTTTGCAGTGTGTACCATTTTTATGTTTGAGAAAGGTGGAAATTTTCCAATCAATACTACAAAGCTAAAAGGTTAGTGAATGTATAATGTCTAGCAAGGCAAACTTAAACAAACAGATTGGATTTTAATATTGATCTGCCTTTTATTTTGAATAAGCGATTAAATTATTTTCAGGTTCAACTGAAAAGGCAAATATGGCCAAATCAAGAAAAAACTGACTGCTGTCAATCCAGGCATGGTTGAAAAGAGTAAAGTAGAGGAGTTTTCCAGTGAATAATTCAAAGATAAAAGGTTAGTGAATTCATAATGTCTAGCAGAGCAAACTTTCACAAACAGATTGAGTTTTCATATTGATCTGCCTTTCATTTTGAATAAGC